GATGCACCAGTGGGAAAAGACAAGCTGCTGACAAACAGGTTTCTTCATAATCTGGATCCTCTGCAAGTTGTAAAAAGGAATTGTTCAAAAAAGCTTCATCTGGATACACCAGATATTTGGGTTAGCCACTTTAGGCAGGTGAAAGTGGGATACAATATGCCATTTAAACTCTAAGGCTTCAGAGGGAGGGGGGCTTAGCTTTTCAGACAAAAGATCCTTTCCTTGCAGATTGAGCTTTCTACACTGGATAATTAAAGTACTTTTCCATCCTATCTGTGCTACCATTCCAGGCTCTAAACAAACAAACAGCGCCTATGTAGCTAACACCATCAGGAGCGCACCATGCCAATTATCCAAAGGTTATCTCTCTCTGCAGTCATCCCTGCAGTATCTCTTAATAGCTGTGCCGACACAGTGCAGAACATTATTGACAATCTGACACCAAGGAAAAGGTTGGTCCTATTTTTTGTTGTAATGGGACAACAGAAGACCAAAAACTTGGGGGCAAATTAATATCTTAATCAAGATCCAGGTTCTAATGCATCAGTGAAGATTATTTTGTGAACATTGCTATCCCTCACCCTCCTTTTCATCATGTTTTGCAGCACACTCACAGGCAAGGCAAAATGACAAAGTGATGCAACAATCAGTGACAGAGCACACAATTAAGGAGTAACAGTGTGTTCCAGTGCTTTTTATAGTTGCTTTATAATATTCAGTCTCCAGGTTTTCTCCAATATGCCTGTGAATCTCATCTATTAATACCTCTTGCATACTACAGCTAGAAGTAATCATATCTGGCTGAAGATATCTGGCTAAACCTGCATTGTCCAAACAGCAGCTTGATATTTGAGAAGGCAGCAACTGCTGCTTGTATTGGAGGGTGGGGGATGTTATGAAAGAGTAGGAAGTTGGGCAAGTAACTAAGGTTTTATAGCTTTGCCTTGCCCTTGTGGGTTTAAAGGTTTTTGGTTTTTATCATTGGTTTTTTGAACCATCTAGAGCAGTCTTTCTCAACTGGGGTTCTGCTGAAACTTATGGTTCTGCAAGAGATCATGAATTTTAAAAAAAATTGTTTTAAACTTTGCATGCAGTGCAATGCTAGCACTCAAAATGGTGGGAATGTTTATGCACCATGTCTCAGTTTATTGATCATGCTAATGTGCTGTGAGCTGTAGATATAATAATCTTTATGCAGGGATTCCCTGAGACCTGAAAATTATTTCAAGGTTACCTCCAGGGTAAAATGGTTGAAAAAAGATGATTTAGAGGTTTATAATTTGATGGTATGTAAGTAAATAAATGTCAAGAATATGGCATTGGCTCAGCAACAAAGTATGCTCAAGTTTATTTATGGGGACTCTATAAGGTCTTTCCAAGTTGAAATAAGAGCAGGGTTTTGCTTTTAGCACTACTCCTGACCTCTCCTCTCTGTATCCACTCACTGCGGGATCCAGTTTGCAAAGGAATTGACCAGATGCCTGGATCCCCTGGTTCCTGAATAAGATACTTCTTTGCAAATGACTGTGCTCAACACATGAATGCTGAATATTGGAAAGACCAAGTCAGGGACACAGACTCCTGTGCCTGCTTCAACACAGCTAAGTCTGCCTACTAGTGACAGGTAAAGAGGAGAGGTAGTGTATCTGCCTGTGACCTGAAAGCTAAACCAGGAGATGGAAAGAAAGAGGTTAACTCTCTCTCCTGCAATGGAGCTATCAAGGGTGGGGGAGCCTTGGGCAAGAACTTCATTCTGGTTGCCCCCCAAAATTTAAAAAGAAATGAAAACAACAAAAAGGGGCCTTTTTGGTTCATCAGGGAAGCTAAGGTCACCATTTCCCTGACCTCTTGGGACTCTGATGATTGCTACTACAGAACCTGGCCCTCCCATCACTCTAGGAAACAGAGACAACAGCTTGATTGTCTGGTGCTTTGCTCCATAACAGTGGGCCATTTTGTGAGGATTTTTTTCAAGCAAAAACTTTTGGGTGAATGCTGCAGTTAGTTGAGCTGCTCCTGCTGATTCAACCCCAAATATGCCACTGTTCTCCTGCTTCTAATCACCAACTATGTGATACTGAAGTTATTTTCCTTTTGGTATGATGGTTTGTCCAAGCAACAAATGCTGTGTAGGACCCAAGGGTCAAAATGTGCATGCTAAACAAGCAACAATGGCAACAGCTTCAACTTTGTGAATATAAGCTAGCTAATGACAGCCTTTTTCCATGCTAAACTTGAACATATGCCCCTAAGTCCTTCTTCCTATCCCATGTTCTCTCATATGATGTAATGACATTCTTGTATTGAGAGAATGAACTAGCTTAGAAAGCCGCTATTCCAAAAGACAAGATGTGACAGAAATCTAGTTCAGATGTCAACTAATTGCTGAGTCTGGATTACTAAAGGAAGAAATAGTGCAAACCAAAATAAAAATGTTCTTCTCAGCTCTTAATGAAAATAGCTATATGAATATAAATACTGTCCTTGTGTATAACTTCCTCAGCTTTACTACTAACCATATGAAACCATTTGCTTTTGAAGCAAACTCTTAGATGATACAGTTGCTCAAAAGAGGTTCTATCCAATCAAATTAATGCTGCTAGAATAAAGAATGAGTTTGCTGAGACAGCAAAACACTTTGACCCAAATGTCACATGAATGTGACCTTTCCTTTTTATGGGATCAAAATCAAATTACGTTTGCCCAAAACTTGTTGCTTTACAATAACTGGAGCCACTTGTCCCATTAAAGGAAGTTTCAGTGAGGGCAACAATGAATAATGTGTTTACAGAGGAGCTGTCATTTTTTGCAAAAGTCTGTGGATATTTAATAAATCAGTTTATCAGCAGTGACTTTAATTTCCTCATCACATTGAATATATGATTCAGACAAATGCACAAGGACAGAATTATTTTAATAAGGAAGGTAAATATGGCAAGACAGAGACAGCCCATCAAATGCTACTACTAACAGCATTTGTCACATATAAAGGAGGAGTTGTTTTCTTCAGTAAAATACGTTCTCTCCAGATACATGGCCAGATAAGATAGCCCTGAATTTTATGACAATTACAAAATGGGCCTGACTCAGATCAACTGGCAGTAAACTTTCCAAGAAAATGCCCTTTGTCTTATTCAGATCAAGTGAACTATCTGTTAGTTCTTAGCCCTTAGAAGAACCTTAAAAACGACATATGGGAAAATTAAGAATATTTTGAGTTTTTAGAAATACACTTAACAATTTACAACTAGAGTATTGGATGAGGCAGTTGATCCAACAGGTCAACAGAAGGTACAAGGACATTCATAAGCAAGCCAAGCTTATATTATCCCTGTTGTTGGTCCTTAGCATCTTGTCCTTAGATTTATATATCATTTGTATCCATCACTGTTGTGTTTCTGTATCTCTTTCACAAATAACAATCACTACTTGAAGAAAGCTATCTTGTCCAAGTGTTATAATTAGTTTCCATTTTACCAAAGCTAAAGGTCAATCTAGTAATTAATGCTTTGGCCTATATCTTCAATTCAATTATGATCTAGTAGGGGTTTTAATCTTGTATCTGTCAGTATTCTACATGTATCTCCTAGTTGGTGGGATGTGGGGAACAATATATTGGACTGCAAAGTAGTGTTTAGATTAGAGATCTTGGCTTGCATAGAATGGCATGGACATGCTTGGGATAATATTGGGCTTTAGTTTCCCATACAAAATACCATTTAAAATGTATTTATTCTTACCATTACCAGGGAATAGTGCATGATGTATTTATCCTTACCATTACCAGGGAATAGTACAATTAAGGCTGGTAACCTAGTCTGTTATACTCTTATCTCACTAACCATCATAATGTGAAAGCTCAGTTGACTAAAGCCATGATGTAGTAGAGCTCAACATTAATGGGCATACAACTTGGAATGTAAGAGGAGTATGTGGTAAGTTGAATGAATGGAAGGAAGGAAGGAAGGAAGGAAGGAAGGAAGGAAGGAAGGAAGGAAGGAAGGAAGAATATATATGTTTTGTGCCTGTAAGAGCAAGTAAGGCATGAATGATAGTAGTCTGATCTGTAAAGTGGAGATGAGGAAAACTTGCATGGAAGTAAAGGTATAATTCAGAATGAAAAAGCTAAAATGTATATCAGAAGGTATGAATTGATGTCATCTGTACTGCAACAGATACTGTACATCTGAAAACAGACATTCATAGGTTAATGGTAGTTGTGTGTTATGTTACAGTAAATGGCAATAATGAAAGAATCACATATGAAAAAAAAATGCATAACATTCTGGACAAATATAATCTAGAGGTGACAATAAGTAACATTTGGGAAGTACAATACAGCTTTATGCCAACCAAAGGAGGTGCAGGCCATTTTTATTCTTTAAAGATAGAGAAATGTATGAGTGTGAAAAAAAAAAGTTTATTCTAGGTTTGTTGATTTAGTGAGAGCATATGTAAATAGGTTGGGATTATGGAATGCTTTGCATGAATAGGAAATTGAAAATGAGTTGCTGAATGTGATAAGAGTGGAATATGAGGAAAATGAAACATAAGCATGAGACTAAATGAAATTCTTAGCAAATGGTTTAACACTGAGCAGAGAGTGAGGGAGGGAAGTGCGATGTCCCCCTAGTTGTGTAATGTATTGATGTATTGATGTACAAGAAATGCTTGTAGTGACATCAGAGGTGAATGGTGATGGTATAAATTTAAGTTGTATTTTCTTTTATCTCCTGCCTTTAATTTCTTTTGCTTATTGTTCTTACTGTTCTTCTGTGCTTTGCTAACATTGCTTAGCCCAAAAGGGAATAGTGTGCATGAATATGAGATTTTACTCTAGATTTTTCAGAAAAAAAAGTCAAGTAACTTACCATTCAGCACAATAGATCTCCCTTTCTTATTTTAAGATCAACCCAAATGATTTTTTTCTTATAGAGTCTCACTGGAAGAAATTCTGCCTTATAAAAATAAGCCACCTCCTAAAACAAGGTATTACTTACCCTGTAGTAATCTGTGCTATATACATCTCTTGACATCCCAAAATCTCCAATCTTCACCAGCAGGTTTTCCCCAACCAGGCAGTTCCGAGTGGCAAGGTCACGATGCACAAAGTGCTGTGATGCCAAGTAAACCATGCCAGCTGCAATCTGCTGGGCAATATGCAGCATCTGGGACTGGGTTAGTTCAGCCAAACGACTCCCTTCGGCCATCAGAACTGCATCAGGTCCATGCGCCCTGTGTGGAACACCAAAGAATTTAGGAGATCTAATGATACCTTTCCAAATGATGGTCTTATAAAAGAAAGCAAGAGGGAGGGAGGGATACAAAGCATCAAGGGCAGGATTCATCAACTGGACCAGTCACTCTCCCTCAGCCCAGCCAGGATTGCTACTGTGAGAAAAAATTGGAGAAGAGAGCACTATGTATGCCACCTTGAGCTCTTGAACAAAAGGCAGGATATAAATGTAATAAACAAATAAATAACTAGAGTTTGTTTTCTTCCGTTGAATTGCATTGGTTAGTGTCTGGATACAGAAAGCTATCCATACATTCCATATATAGAGGAAAAACGACATATAGATAAATGCATTTTGTTACTGTTGCCCAATATTGCCTTTTGAAGCTCTATTTGGAGGCATAGCTTTAAGATGCCATCATTTTATTTAATTTGTGGGGAAAGAAGTTGTGTTCTGTGATATAACACATTGAAATTCACATTTGTTTCTTTGTTTCTACTCATAATTCAAGCATTATAAAGCAAACCACAGGACAACTCTAGATAACTATTGTATCATATACCATATATCAAATTATGATGCTGTTATTTGTAGTAGGCTATTGTCTGAAGGAATAGTAACTGTGCCTCTCCAGGAGGAATGTGCTCAATAACATGATTTCTCTTCTTTCCTGGATGCGAAGCAAAAGTTAGAAAGAAAGATTAGAACAGAACGTATCCTCCGTAGTCTTCTCACTCTGACCTTCTGCAGGTGGCATGCTTGCCTTGATATTTACTTACTTACTGAGAGAAGTCTAGAAATCTACTCTAAATATAGCTGTGCTCAGAAAATACAAATGTATTGACTAGGACCAAATTTTCAGTTCAAATAGAGTGGTAGACATTCAGTTTTGTTTCTGTATTATTGCACGTGCAGACATTGTAAATTCTTGAGAAAGAAAGAATCACAACAGTATGTATGTGTATGTATGTGCATACACACACATACAGGACACTGCTTGTCTATAAAAACAAATGCTGAAATGCAAAGGGTGGAAAATGGAGCTGGAAATGCTGACATCCCACCTTTGAAAATTTTGTTCTAGCTATCTGTCTCCTTATTTATATTGCTCAATTGCCAAGGAACATGAGAACAGCTGCCAAGCTTCTTCCAGCCTCTTAAAAGAGGGAGGGCATTTGAGGGCTGTTGAGAGGACCTCGGGGCATGTCAGTGAATGTAAGTTTTTGCAACCCCTGCTCAAGAGCCATAAATAAGCAGATATGTATCATTACTATGAAATGCTTGAAGCAGAGTTTGAAGCAGATGCTGTTTCCCTAATAATTAACAGTGAAAAACAGTCAAAAGCAAAGAACTTAAATGAGGTGCAATAGGTAGAAGAGAAAAACAGCTTGAGCTGCACTGAGAAATCAGGTTAGTTCATATACTCTTTATTTAGATATTGAAAATGAATTAACTTGATTTCTCAGTGGAGCTCAAGCCATTTTCCTCTTCCTGTTACTAGCCCCCCTCCCCATGTTCTGAACACATTTGTTATTTCTTTCTTTTAATAAGTCATTGAACCAAAATACACACTTCCACTTAGTGTTGATCAAAAACATCTATAATACACATCACTGATCAAATACATTTCTTTGCCTGCTTATGGAAACATCACTTCACCCTACGTTTCATCATGCTGCCTTTCAGGGGCTTGTTCTGTTTCTTCTTCCTCAATATAATGTAAGATTTTAAATGTGCTGCATCATGACTGAATGATGCACTTGTTACTTCTGTTTCTGAGATACATAGCCAAGAATCAACTCTTTCAGCAAGATAGTAGAAGCCCAGATCAAGGTTGCCCAAACTGAAGGCCATGAAGTACATGCACTTCAGAGGTACTGCCTACTTTGAAGCTCAAAGAACGCTACGCTGCAAATGAGATACAGTCATATTCTTGGTTGTGACCAAATATTTGGAGTGAAAATTGAACATAACTGAGGGCTTCTGGGTGGTTGAAATACCTTCAGCTTCTAACAGGGCTCTGTGATCTAGACTTGTTTTGCTTCTGCTCCACTTCTTACCCCTCCCCTCCACACACATCAAGTCTACCTATCTTAATTCAATATAGTTTTCTGCAGTAATCATATATCAAGACTATTCAAGGGAATATGAGAATAAGAACCCATTCTGATCCTGCTGCTGATGCTGTGACAAACTTGGTCAGCTCTGAACAGCCACCAAAAACACAAACACTGATTGCATGGCTTCTGGAGTTTCTGCAGACAATTATGCATAGCCTGTAGTTTTTGAGTTGCACTCTATAGTCACTGCCTCCATCTCAACTTGAAATGGATTTTCCTTTTCAATGTTTCCTCCTAGAACATTTGTCTGTGGCACTGGCACAGCCTTACGTTTCTCTCTGCCTAAATGCTGCACTCAGGAATCCTTCCTGACCTTCAGACCCTGGCCTGCAATTGGACACTATGCTGCAGGAAGCCGGTAGTGAAGGACATGGGTGGTGTGTGTGTGAGAGAGAGAGAGTGAGTGAATGTCTAATTGTGAGATCATTTATTTTCTTGGTGGCCTTGGGGGGCGCTGCAGGGCAAGAAATAAATGTACTTTCAAAGCATGATTACATGCAGATTTTCTTCCATATCGTAGTATGGAAGTAGTTTCAAACAAGAAAAGAATGCTAGATTTCAGTTCATCTTAAGAGGGACTCTTTTTCACTGAATCGTTCTGGATGCTACATACGAGGAATAACAAACTTTTTAAAAAGAAGATGTTATGCATATTACTGTAAGATCGCTTCAAATTGAAACGCAAGAGGCAGAATCCAAGCCAGTACCAAAAAATATAAATGAATGTGCGCTTGAGTTGCTATTAAATGGGTGCAATTATAATGAATGTTTAACGTGTTCAATCAATTGTGGGAGGCTGTACCTTTCCACTAATTTCCAAGCCATGTATCAGAAGCAAATCTCTATAGTCGGTTTTCTGAACTTTCTAAGACTGATGTGTATCTTTATTTGGGGGCCAGAATCACACAACATAGAGGGATTTATTTCTAAGCAGAGATCAGGCCAGAAGAAAGGAAATCTCTCCATGGCAGGCGCAGGAGTGCTATACAAGCTGCGCTGCAAAAGAAAAGCCCAGTGCCATGGCTATGAGATGGGTGGCCTATGAATAATATAAACAAGCAAAAGATAAATGTATATGCCAGAGCTTGCCATCGAGGGAGCCTCTCTCTCTATGTGTCTATATATCTACCTATATCTATAGAGAGATATATAGATATGCATGCAAAATAAAGCCACATAGCAGTCCTTGCTCATGGTTAGTGGCATTTCTCATCAAGAGTTTTGTTAGGCAAAACAGCTTGTGGTGTGATGTAATATCATTCTTCGGTTGTCAGTTGCAGCTATAACAAACAGACAAAAGGATGGAAACAAGAATACCAAGACAAGACCATGTAATAACAAGGAAAACCAAGCTTATTGGTTTATTGGGAGAAAAGAGGAAAAAAGCCTGAGGTAGACTGAAACTGATTCAGAGGCTAAATCCAATACTCCTGCAACAGGATTGTCCTTATCTGCTTGCTCAGCGCCTCAGTCTAACCACTTGCAGTACATGAAGCTTCTTTTGTGTCTGCATACTAAAATCTAACAAAAATTAGCCAACTGATCAGACTTTAGTGCAGTGTTGTCCAAACTTGGCCACTTTAAGATGAGTGGACTTCAACTCCCAGAAGGCTGGGGAATT